TAATAAATAAAACTTTTTTAAAATTATATTATTATTATATTATTTAATCCATATTTTATATATTTAAATCATTATTTTAAAAATACGTGTTAAAGGAAAAAAGAGGAATTGAAAGTATTTAAAAAATATATGTTGGCTTATCTTGTTGATTCATCCAACAATTAGCATTCAAAAGAAAATTTTCAAGCTGATGGATGAACAAGATAGATCAACTAAACGACAAAAGAGTTGAAGATTTAAAAAGGAAGACAAAATGATAATCAAAAGTGGAAGGCGAAAGAAACAGCTCCCGAATCGAACTTTTAAACTCAATTATTCGACCCTAAACTTTAAATGTTTGGGTGAGATGATTAAAGTTTTGAATTTTATTATCATCTTGATAACTTAAACTCTATCAAAACGGTTTGATGGCTGTGTACCTCATTTGAGGGATAGAATGTTTACTCGGTCTGAGGATCAAATCTCCAGTTATTAACAATTAATTTAAACTAACTTCCTAACTATTATTTTTGTCAAAAAAAAAAAAAGGGCTCCCTGCATATGATTTGATTGGCCGACACAGTATCAACCGTTTAAAAAATGAGTAATGATCTGTGGGATGATTTTTGGGGACGAAACGAAGGACGACAAGTGAAGTAGCCCCAACAAAAATTACCAATTTAACCTTGTTTTCACTTGTTGTCCCGCAAAAATCATCCTTCAAAATTGTTCCACAGATCATTACTCTTAAAAAATTTTCTCCAAAAGGGGCTCGCTCCCTATTTCCCCTCTATTGTAGCTGAAGTTTGTGATAGGGTGATCAAATTCTATCTAATTTAATTGATTTAATTTAAATTAATTTAATTTAATAAAAAAAATAAATTAAATTGATATAAAATTAAACTAATTTGAATTATAAAATTTTAAAATTAATATAATTAGTTTGATTTATAATTTTATTTTTAAATTGTCTGAATTGCTCGATTACAAAATAAAATTTAATTACAAAACAACTTAATTAAATAATATAATATATTTTTAATAATATTTTAAAATTTCCTCTTTTTTTTGTTTTACAAAATAATAACTTTATTAACTTAATTAAAAAAAAATAAAACATCTCTATATTTCCTAAGTTATTTTTTCTTTTTAATCATGTATTCTAATTTTAATTTTAAATTTATAATTCACGTGCAATAATATCTCTTATAATTGGTTAGACCTTATTTTTAGAATCCTAAATTTTTAATTTATTCTTAAAATAATATTCTGATTCTTGTAATTAAGATTTAAAAACATATCATTTTAAAAGTTTTAAAATTATATAGTAGAACTAATCTTGATATTCTATTATTCATGGATATTTAGTTGAAGAGTTTTAATTCTTAATTATGAATGCTTTTAATCAATTTTAGTGATATCTATGTTAAATTTTATTTACTTTTAATAGGATTTAGAAGATGAGATTAAATTATTGGAGTCATCTTTTATTGTTCTTAGTGCCTCTAGTGATGTAAACAAAAATAATTTTCAGATCTTTTCAATTTTTACAATTATAAAGGAATATAAAAACTTGTTTATATTTTGTATATTTTAGTATATTTTTATTGATTTAGATGTTAATGTATTTGATAATTATGTTTTCTACTTGATGTTAAAATGTTTTTACATTATTTCATACATTTAATAGTGTTAAAAATTAATTAATCCAACTAAACCATACCGATCCGATTTAAGTTAGATTGGTTTGGTTATTATATAATAATGGATTAGATTGACTTAAAAATTTTACTAACAGATTAAATTAAATTGATTTAAAAAACATTAAAATCCAAACCAAAACCACTATTTTGTGCTCTATTCTACTTTAATAAAAGAATAACAAATAGAGCATTCAATATACATGTTTAAAGGATTGCAAAAAAATTAAAATGTAAGAAATAATAAAAAAATTTAAATATCTTTGCTGGACGATCAACATATAAGAAATATTTATTAAAGATATCTAAATAATTTCATAAGTGATTTTTATATTTTTTACAAAATAATTGGTATACTTTTAATTTAACACATTTTTCAATATATCTCTAGTTTAGTTATTAAAATATAATATAAATATAATTGATTCAATTAGTTTTTATGTGCTATATATATAGTTACACTTTTAAGTTTGTCTATCTTTAATTTCATATCATATTTAAGTTTGTCTATAAATAATAATTTTTAATAAATATATTATATAATATATTTAATTAAAAGTTTGATCAATAAATGTCCTTAAATGGTAAAATGTTCTAATTTTTATTTTATTTTTTTTTTAAGTGTTGATAGAAGCATGTCTACTTATTCCTTTTATGGCTTTATATGATTATCAAGTCTCATACTCAGGTATTTAATTGAATGGATCTTTACCACTCTATTCTTCAATTTTGTGCGTTCACATCAAACCGTAGGGTTTCATCAGGATCGTCAGCCTCTTGAATATAGCCACATGACTAGCTAATTAAAGTTTCAACCACACATTTACAATTGTCAAGTTGTCTTTCTTCATTCACCACATTATATATTCTCCTCCAATTCAGTCTATTATACTTTACCAAACGAAAAATAGTAAATAATAACCTAACTTTACATCTAGATCTAATTCAATACTCAAAGGGGAGATAGTCTAGTTGGTAAGAGACAACTATTTGCCCCCACTTCATTGGTCATGATTTTATTTCTTAAGGAAGTTATGAGAACTTAATTAATTTCTCATAAATCTCTTAGTTTATAGATAATTTACTTTTGATCTAATTAGATTCCACCTCACCTATGGCTTATTCCTATACACACACAAAATATCCAGTTGTAAATTGTAATCCTAAAGAAAGCTAGAATGTGAACCTCTTATTCCAAGTAAAAGAATTCTTTGCAGACCCACAAAACTCTTTTGAATATGGTTTTATATGTATATTATTTAATCTAGTTCGGTCATTTTCATTGTTGTCTCTTTATGTCTATCAAATTGAGACCATCCTCCCCAAATTAGTAGGACTTAAGTAGGCAGTTTGGTCAGCCGGTTTTGATATCATTTTCCGTTGAATCCATTCCCAATACTGGAAACGGGAAAGAACCCTAACAACCTCAAGAAACAAACAGAACCATAGACAGACATGATTCCCCTTTTAGGGTCTTTAGAAAATTTATCGAATTAATACTTACCAATTTTGATGCCAAGGTCTAATGTTTTCTTAATTAGAAAGGAAAATGATTATTATACACTTGGTTTGATATTTTTTTTAATATTTACTTAGTTTAATTATTAAAAATATAATATAAATATAATTGATTTAATCAACTTTTACATTTATGTATATAATTATATTTTTAAATTTGTCTGTTTTTAATTTTATATTAAAAAATAATAATTTTTTAATAAATATATTATAAAGTATATTAAATCGAAATATGTACTAATTAATTAATATTCTGTTAGAAATAATATTTTTTTAAAAAAATGCAATTCTTTGAGAGATTCTTACCCAAACCCTAAAATAATGAAATGTCAACGATCCCCATGCAGCATGCACACGAGAAGACAAAGGGAACTAGGTACTTTCCCATTTTCTTATGCTCACCAAACCCATTTTTCCATCTCCACCGCGTTTTTTTCTCTCCTAAACCTCTTAATTTAATCCTCAGAATATCTGCCATCCATGTTTGCAACAAATTAAAATTAGTTTTCGATGTTGCTATTAGCCAAAACCTAGCTAATCCTTTCAACTGCTGATTCCTCTTTCATACCCAAGGACCGCTGGAGATGAAACAGTCCAAATTCTCTTGCTGAGTCTTGGGAGAAGTAAACGCTGTTTGGATGCAAGGAAAATGATATTGAATACCTCAAATTCCACTTCTTTAGATTAAGAAAAATAAAGATGGGTCCTCAAAAGATGCCACATTCTTGCTTCATTTGTGGATTAATTCTTCAAAGTAATGCATGGGAGCACTTTACTGGGGCCAAAATCATTTTGACCAAATGATGCCTAAATTTCTGATGTCAATCTGTATTAGCAATTAAATCTTCATTTTCTTTCCCCATAATGAAGCTTTGGATAATGTTGATGTCTAGGTTAACTTACTTTCACATTGGATACTAATTGATATATTCTTTATTTCAACACATTATACAATATATTTATTAAAAAATTATTATTTTCTCATATAAAATTAAAAACAAATTAATTTAAAAATATATCATGCATACAACATGCAAAAATTTACTGAATTTGTTATTTCTATATTATATTTTTAATAACTAAATTATACAAATATATATAAAAAAAAAAAGGCTAAATCTAAGGGTATACAAACTATTTTCCTTTCACATTCCATTAAACAAATGCAAAAAGTGATTGATAAAACCAACAACTTTTTAATCAAATTCAAATGCATAAGCATGCATGAGATGATCAAGACCCACCAAAATTGACCAAAATTTTTTTCTTTTCCCAGTCCCCATTGCGACCCAAATAATTCCATCTTGGACTTTCATTTTTCTCCCTTTCTTCAATCAGAACCAACCAAAGTCATAGCAAGATTGTATATTTGCCCTAATAAAAAAATAATAGTAATAAAGCTGTGGATGTTAACAATACAAGAACATGCATGGTGGAGACAACTGTGTTATGATTTAAGAAAAAAGTCTTTGTTTAGGTAGGAAGACATTGACAGGTTTGACAGAGAAATGCCCCCCCACACATTTTATAACATAAATGAAAATTATAGAGATGTTAAAGCAAATTTAATTAGGCCCTTACAGGGAACGTCAAATAATTAGTTTAATCACGAGGAAAATGGATCGAGGAGAGGCCAAGTAGAGACAACAGTAAAAGGGATCAGAAGGAGAAAATGAGAAATGAGAAAAAAGAATCACATGATATCCAACAGTCGCATCTGTAATCCATAATGTTAGCATATATGATTGCATTATAAAAGAGCACAACTGGAGTGTCAGAGAATCGTTGATTTTTGGACAAACACCAAAGTCTCTGCATATAAATTCAAGGTTTTTGTTGATTACTTAAATTCCACGATTGAACTTGAATCAATCAGAGAAAATTCATCCCAAAACTCATCAACTTCAAAAGCCTTATACCCTCTATACCTTTCTTCTTTCTTTCCTCTTTCTCTGTCATTTGTAACCAAAGTCTCTAGTTGAACCTCTCTAGTCTACTTGTATGCGAGGTTTGTTCCGGCGAGGTGTTTGAATCTCAGGTTGGAGGCTGTCTGATCATCAATTCAAGGTTTAAGAGATTGAACTTTCTTCCTCATGAATGGTTTGTTTCTAGGCAAAAGAAAGAAAGAAAGAAGAAAAAAAGAATATAATTAAATTTATGAGTTTTAGGTGTTGTATTTACTTTCTTAATTATTATTTTACTTCTTTACAAGTCTCTATGATTTGTTCTCCCTTCTGATTGTTAGGATAGTTCATTGATGGTGGTAAAAGGCTTTCTGCAAAAAATTTTGAAATCAATAATTCTTCCAGATTTTCATTCCAGTCATCAGTAATTTCTCAAGATAAGCTTTGTAT